AAAACAAGCTATAAAACAATCAAGGAACACCCTCCTCAACGAAAAGAGTTCCTTCTTCAGCGTCCCGACTGTACTCGAATGCGGTCGCCACTCCAGGAGGACAAGTCGATCGAACCGATCTGAATGTTGCTCACCAGCGAGACCTGGACTTCGACTTCGCTGCCAGGTACTCCAGATTTCGTAATCAAAGGGAGGGGTTCTGGACCCTCCAAGACAAGCCATTTCAGACCTCCCCCGTGGGAGAACCCTCCAAAACATCGTCCCCAGACCCCCCAGGCCCTCCAAGATAGCCTGGAAGAGACCCCCCCGAAATGAGACCCCCCTCCTTTTATTACGAAATCTGGAGTACGCGGTAAGCCGGGAGCTTGGCGAAGAAGCTGGACTGCACATCCCTCTGAAGGACCTGGTGGAGATCCCTAACGACAAGGCCACGATCCCACCTCACAAGAACTACGGGTACGTCTACTTGGTAGCACCCGAGGTGAAGGGGCCGCAGTATCGCTCTCGTGGTGAAGTGGTATATCATGGTGTCCAGGACTTGGGATCCCCTGCCGGAGATCACTACCATGCTTGGGTCACCGTGGACGACCTCATCGCGCCACCAGACCTTCTACCAGCACGCAAGCAGCCACTGGACTACATCGCGAAGGTGGAGAAGGGGAGGATCCGGCAGATGAAGCAAGGGATGGCGAAGCAGGCGGAGGTGACGAAGGACGAGCCATCCGAACTCGAAAAGAACGGACGCTGGCATACCGATGATGTGATCTACTACCTGGTAGTAAAGAGCCGTGCTCAGCCGATCGCCCAGTATCCGACCTTCAACGCGACCTTCAACGATCCCACGTCGGAGATGATGGCCGTACACCATCAGTACCCGAGACAGCCTACTTTCCGTGCTTGGCTGAAGTTGTTGACGCAAATGCCACTCGACATCGCCCTGAGTCTGATTGAGTCGCGCAACACGTTTGAATACGAAATCGCGCAGGACTACCTGAACACAGGAGACGAGAGAGGTGAGTACGAGGGCCTCTACGCGTACTTCCAGGTGTGCACGGACACCGAGCTCCACGACCCCTCCGATCCTCACCCGGTGTCAGATCTCGTCGCCACGCCATTTAGAGATCTGCCTCGCTGGGTACCTGCAGCGCTGGCCATCATCCCCAGCACGGAGTACAACGAACCTCCGAAGATCGGTAGAAACCCATGGCATCCTCCTCAGGAGGAGGAGCAGCTGATGGTCGACAGCTGAGGGGAGCTGGCAAAAGAAGGCGAGGAGGCCATCGAGGACATCTTGGACCAGACCGAGATCCTCGGAGAGGCAGGCGGAGGAGAGGAGATGGCACACGCAGGCTGGAGAACCTCGGCGAGTGGAACGGTGCAGTGGGGATTTTGAAAAGCTTCGTCGAGGATCCTCCACGCCCAAGATAGCCCCAAGACCGTCCAAGAAGCCTCCAAGACGTCCCAGGCCCCCTCCAAGAGCACCCCCAAGAAGGGCCCAAGAGGCCACACTCATTACTCTTCCATCGGAAACTTACATTTCTAGCATATACGACGTTTCGACCTTCACGGCGTCACAAACAGCTTCGTCTTCAGGGTCGGCGGCACCGGCCGTAAGGCCTTCGCAATCCTCCACCCATGGGCGGATCCGTCTCCGAGGCCATGGAGGCTGTGGTGACGATTGATCACCACACCGCTGCTCCAGGACTGGAAGGAACTCCAGCAGAGAAGGGCGAGATGCTTCTTTGGGCCTGTAGGAAAGTACATGACTGCCCACTGGAGGGAAGGCCTGCAAGCTGTCCAGAAAGAACAAGACGGTCTTCAACCAGATGATGAGCGACCACTGGAAGACGGGCCACCAGGTCGACGTGACGAGGGACCACCTACTCGACACACTCCTTCACTATGACTGTTTTGGCCGCGTTGGTTCTGGAAGCTCAATTTGGGAGACCCTAGTCCCCAGAAGATCCCGCTTACCCGCGAGCCTCTCGCAGGACTCATCGATGGTCCTCATGTCAAGGGGCCAATTGCGTATCCAACCGGACAGCGGTGGGTGATGGATATGGCACCGATATGCGCTAGGGAGATGCAGCGCGACAAGGAGCTCAACAAGAAGTAGACCCAAATCGAGACTGCCTTCCACGGTACCAACTTGGCAGCACTGGAATCTATCTGGAGCAAGAAGGACCTGTTCGAGTTGAAGCCAGGACCTTCGAGCTGTGAAAACGTCTACGGCATTTTCTGCGAAAGGACAACTCGCCGTAGCTCTTGCACTCACTACATGGTGCATGTGTCGTCTGACGTCAGCCCTGAGATGAACCTGAACTCTTGTGTCTTCGAGCTGCAGGTGGATCGCAACCGTCGCGCATGCTATCCCAAGATGCATGTCCACAAACAGTGGTGCCAAACCAAAGGCAACATCTACGTCAATGCGCTCTGGATCCACACTACGACGTTGAGGGAGATCTTGGACAAGCTACAGGCGAAGGAGCGAGTCTTTGGACAGCACAGGATCTGGAATCGTACGGTCACTGTGTACCTCACGGCAAAGGCCATCCCGACAGCATTTCCGAGTGTATACGCGTACTCAGATGAAGCGATCGAGGACTCCGACTTCCCGATTCTCGAGGTCAAGCTGGTTCCCAAAGACAAGAGATGGGTTCCTCCGTGGAACAAAGAGCTCAGTGCGGCAGATTGTTTCCTGGAGCGCACGACCAACGCGGAATCGAGCCACAAAGTTTCATGGTCAGATGGGGCAGGCTTCGGACGCAGCGAAGTCGGAAGACCTCATCATGGACCCCAGGTCGGACAATCCCTTCAAGGATATCTCTCAGAGGTGCTCTCAAGTCCTACGTGTTCGTGGAGCTGTACCAGCTGCACGTCACTGAGGCTCTAGTAGTGCGTGGAATGGCTACGGTATCTACTGAGAGAGAAATGTCATCTTCTGAGACGAGGCGGCGTTTCGGCTGCAAGAAAGGTACGGGCTCTGGTTGCTGAGCCCCTGTCAGCCTCTCCTCCTCCTGCGCCTCTCTCTTTTCTCCCTTGTGCGCCGCCGTATCGGCTCACAAGGGCCCTTGAGCTATCATGGCACGCCGGTGATGAACGCGCCCACGCCTCCGTAAAAGGAAAGAGAACGTGCTCTCTTCTAGCACGGGTCCCCCTATTTGCACCTCGTGTCTCTCTGTATCCATGCAGTCACTCCCGAACAATCCACAATCCTAGATCTAGCCCTAAGACCCTGACCCAAAGCACGAGCCCGAACCCCTAACACCCTAAAACTTAACACCCAAACACTACCACCCTGATATCAACGCCTAATCCTAATCTTGGCACGCTAACCCTAAACACGAAAACTAATCCTAACACCCTAACCCTAGCACCCTAACCCTGAGACCCCAACCCCTTAACACCCTAACCTTATCACACTAACCCTAGCACCCTAACCCTAACACCCTCACCCTAACAGCCTAACCCTACCTTCCTTAACCCCGACACCCTAACCCTAACACAATATTCCTGACAGCCTGACCCAAACCCTATCACCCTGAGCACTAAACACTAAGCCCTCACGGCAACAACAATGCGCGGGAGCGACCCCCCCTCGTCGACCGCCGAGGGGGGGAGGGGCGGTGACATCCACCTTTTCCAAATGGAAGGGAGGCAGGGGTTGGAACCCACCTTCTCCAGCGTGGAAGGGGCGAAGAGGGGGAAGGGTTGAACCCCACCCTCCCTAAGGGGAGAGTTAAAACAGACCACCTTTGAAAGGCGGGGTAGACGGCATGTTTTCAACTAAGGGGTGATCCACTGGCGCTCTTTCCTCCTTTAATTGTAATATACCTGGCATTATGAAAGCCGCTCGGTTGCGAACCTCCCCTCTAGGAGACTCAGAACCACTCGGATTCGACAAACCTCCCACTGAGAGAGACTGGGCTAGGGTGAGGTGATGTTGAAATTGGGTTATGAAGAATAGACGGGATGAATGAGGAAGGAAGAGGCTATGAGGGTGTGAGAGTGAAGTCTGTCAAACAGGGACGACGAGAACAAGGAATCCACGTTGCACGCGGGAGCGTCGCACCAAGTGTGTCCACAGAAAACACAGAATTCTGCTCATCAACGTTCGAGCCAACAGCCAAAGAAATCGGCATGCATCCACCCAACAAGTTTATCGATTGCCTATCCATGTATACGCCTCGAACGATCACCGCCAGCCTTGAAGTCGAGAAAGAAAGACGACGCACCCCCCCATACAGCATACAGCCAAGACATACACCTTCAAGTGTGCAACTCCAAACCGCGCAGCGGCTATGCGCTCCACGAGTAGAGAAGCGGAGCTGCAGAAACACATGTGGAACACAAGACGATGGGGAATCACTGGATGCCATGCCAATGCTTACAGACCTGAGCGGGCGCTCGTGCAGACAGGCGCATCGATGTGCCTAACCAGGCGCCGAGAGAAGACATGTACAGCCATTCCTCCGAAAGGCATCCAGGCGAAGCCTGTTATTTGCGGTCTCGCGCTTTGCACGGTACTTCCTGCACTGCTTTAAGCACAGATCCCCTCTGCTGCTCATTTCGTACACTGCGATCTTACCTGTGCTCGCCGTCACACTGGGGGCGTCTCAGAATCTCACTAACGCCATTTACTCTCCTGGACACCTTGGCAATTCTGAAAGCCCATGCGCGTCGACGATGTCCTATCTGAGCAACGGGAGGTCCCCACGTTCAAAGCACAGCTTGAAACATTGTTGAGACACCACGCGACAGCGCAATTCGAGATAGTCATCAGCACTACTCAGGACAGTTTGAAGAGTGCGACCAAGAGGGAAGGGAGTCGACGTGAATTCAGCGACAGATGCTGGGTGGGGCGCGGAAGGACAAAGAACCAATAAGACCACGAAGAAAGACGGAGAAGTTGCTTCCTCATGGACGCCAACCGAATGAGCCGAAAACGCGGGCCACGAGAACGACGCGACGGTGCTTGCAAAGCTTCCCATGCCGCCAGCCTTGGCGATCCCGATCTTGCGTCTCTCCTCCAAGAGAGGCCTTCGGGCCGCCAGGTTCCGAAGAGAGCGATCGTCAAAAAACACAATCCCAAATTCCGACACACGAACAAACCGTATACCGATTGACCGAATACCACCCTTGCCAAGCCACGACCGGATCCGTCCTGATTTTCGTCAAGCAATACTATGGACGCACACTCGCTTACCAAAAAAAACAATGCCCAAAACTCGTTGCAAGCATCTGCGCAGCGCGCACCTACCGATAACCGTCAAAACCCAAAAAGGTTCCGTAAGGATTTCAAAAGCGGATGTCCCGAAAAGATGTCCCACAAAAACGGTACTGCCCCGATGAATTCTCAAACAAAGAAAGGCTGCGCGTTTTGGCAAATTCCCAGGGGAAACAACTTGTTCCCCGAAAATATACATCGGCTGCGAACAAACGAGCCACTCGCGCGCGCACGTCGCAATCACCCGAACGCCTTCTGCACGCGTGCTGAGGAAGGGTTGTATGGGGCACGACCCGTGTCAAATGATACCACTCGGGCCCCTCGCGCCCGTCGGCCGCGGGCACACGTCGTAACTGATCCGGAACATTCATCGCCGACACGTGGACACGGTCATCGTCATCGGCGCGACCAGCATCGGCTCTCATGGGCCTTGCCGTCCTCATCGTCATCGTCGTCATTGGAGCCGCTACTATCATGATCGCGTCTGCCATTGCCGACGTCACCGTGATACCGCGCCCACCCAAACCACCGACTCGCACTGAAGTGCCCGCGGGTCAACGTGGCATGCGAGGCGTGCTGGCAGTCCCCTGCGGTCACCGCTACCGCGGCCGCGTCGGTCGCGCCAGAGTAACTGGCCGATTTGCGCGCGAGCCTGCGCGCGCGAGCGCGGCCGCCGCTGCGACGCGCAAGCCAGCGCCAAGCAGTCATCGCAATCGCCGCCGCGAAGGTTTTGAAAACCAAGTTGCGGGCGAGTGAGATAATTGCGCGAGCAACAGGGGTGACACCTTCAAATACTGCAGGGTGCGTTGCACCACATCAAATTCTCCTTGTTCTAAAACAAGAATAGAATCGACCCCCCCCCCGGGAGTTAACGATCCCCCTCGGGATACGGCGATTTAATATTCATTCTACACACATGTCCATCTTAAATATGAATTCATAACACCCCAACCAAACCGGTATCACCCCCCCCCACACCATCCTCTGCAAGAATAATTGTACGCACCCCCGTTTATCAAACAGCATAAGTTTTCAAGAACCCCTTGCAAAAACGGGACGAAGTGCACACGCGCGTGTCGTCGCGCGCGCATGCCACAATCCTTCGGGAACCTTCGGTTTCGGAAGGATTTCAAAATCGAGTTTCCAAACAACATGCAAACATACATGGTTTCGAACGACGGATGTCCTAAAAAAGTTTACGCGCGCGCTCCTGCAAAATCTTCAGGAAACCACAGCTGTTTCAAGATGTTCCAAAAATACTACAAACGGGCTTCGCGTGCGCGCATGTCGAAATCTTTCGAAAATCTTTCGAAAGCCCTTTGCGCGCGTGCCGTCGCGAGAACCATCTGCAAAAAACGTGACGAAGTGTAGACGCGCGCGTCGTCGCGCGCGCATGCCAGAATCCTTCAAAAACCTTCGGTGCCGGAAGGATGTCAAAATCGCGTGTCCCAAAAACATACAAAAACACAAGGTTGCGCAGCAGTGATTTTCAACAAAAGCGTGCGCGCGCGCTCTTGCGTCGTCGTCGTTGTCGTCGTATTCCCTCCTCCCTCCTCGTCGTCGTCGTCGTCGCCGTCGTCGTCCTCTGTGTTTCCTCGTCGTCGTCGTCGTCGTCGCCTTGGCGTCGTCGTCGTTTCCGTCGTCGTTGTCGCCGTGGTCGTCCTTCCTCCCTCGTTGTTTTCGTCGGGGTTTCGTCGTTGTCCCCCCTTATTGCGTCGCCGTCGTCGTCGTCGTCGTCTTCCCTCTTCCCTCGTCGTTGTCGTCGTCGCCGTCGTCGTTTCCCCTCCTCCCTCGTCGTCGTCGTCTTCGTTGGCGACGTCGTCGTCGTCGTCGTCGTCGGCGGCGTCGTCGTCGTCGGCGTCGTCGTCGTCGTCGGCGGCGGCGTCGCCGTCGGCGTTGTCATCGTCGTTGTCGTCGTCGTTGTTGTCGTCGTCGTCGCTGTCGTCGTCGAAATCGTTGGAAACGTCGTCGGTGTCGTCGTGGTCGTTGTCGGCGGCGTCGTCGTTGTTGTCGCTGTCGTCGTCGTCGTCGTCTTCGTCGTCGCCGTCGTCTTCGTCGTCGTCGGCGTCGTCGTCGTCGGCGGCGGCGTCGTCGGCGTTGTCATCGTCGTTGTCGTCGTCAGCGTCGGCGTCGTTGCCGTCGTCGTCGGTGGTGTCGTCGTCGTCGTTGTCGTCGTCGAAGTCGTTGGAAACGTCGTCGGTGTCGTCGTAGTCGGTGTCGGCGGCGTCGTCGTCGTTGTCGCTGTCGTCGTCGGCGTCGGTGTCGCTGCCAGCTGACATGTGGTACCCACCGTCACGGTCTTAAGAGGTATTGCGACCAAGTTGCGGGTGGGAGGCTGGGGCGTTTGCACGAACAGTGGAGAAGACAGCTTCAAGTTGAGCAAGAGATGGGTCGAACAACATAGATTGCACCATGTACGTTGCACCACGCCAACTGCACCACAGAGATTGCAAACACATAATGCACCGCGTAGATTGCACCACCAAGATTTCACGACACAGATCGCACCACCGACGCTCTCGTCTCTCACACACAGAATTCACATCCACCACCCTCCCACGGCTGGAATGATCGCCATTCCCTTGGATAACGCAATGTACTGATTCCGCCCCATCCTTCACTCGAGATGTGAATCCATACCACCTCAGCCAAGCGACGATCGACACCCCCGCTCTTCCACGTCAAAAAACGACGCGCGCAACCTCGACTGTCAAGAACCATCCGTGTCCAAAAACTCTTGGCCCCCTTCGCCAAAAAATCGGACGAGGCGCACGCGCGCGAATCGTCGCGCGCGCAAGCCAAAATATTCAAAAAAAAAAAAAAAAAACATGCGGTTTCGTAGCAAATTCAAAACCAAGGATCCCGATATCACTGCCGCAAACCAAACAAACAAACACACATGGATTTGCAACACGAGCCGCAAGATCAAGTGGCAAAAAGAAGTGACCCAAACTTGCACGGACAACATCAGCGTAGGCGCCGTTATCTGTCGCTCGAACTGTATGGGAAGTGCGCGCGTTGAACGACTCCCTGGACGGCAACGGAAGGACGAGGACTGAGGCCCTGGGCTCGGGAAGGGAATCGGAGCGGGAACGAGGGGCAGGAGAGGGACGCGAAGGGGGGGGCGAAAACTCAGCGCGGCAGCAGCAGGGAGATGAGGGAAGGAGAAAGAGGACGACAACGACACAGGAAGGTTGAGAAGAAAGGGTGGCGTTGTTCTTGCCAGTAGCAAGCTGGACACGCAGCGCGGCCCGCGCTGTGTCGCCCCGGCAGGCAATCCACAAGACCAAGTCTCTATAGCTAGCAAAGGCAAACGAGGCCTAGCTCGCCCGCCAGTTTCTCCGCTTTCTTCCTGCACCTTTCATACGAAGAAAGCATCTATACACCACCACCGTGCCAGGCCAGGGCCATCCTGGGCCCTAGGAAGGTGTATACGCCCTCCTGGCCGAGCCAGGAGGGTCTATACACCATCCTACGGCCCAGGATGGCCCTGGTCTGGCACGGTGGTGGTGTATAGATGCCTTCGTCGGATTTCAACGCGGGATCTAAGCGCCAGCTGGCGCGCCGCCAGGTCTGCGGGCGGTCCGCGGGCAAAGAAATCACGGCTCGACTCGCGCAACATCAGCAGGCTGTCCACCGTCGTCGCCCTGAAAAGCACCACGCAGAGATGCAACCAAAGGTCGTCAGTGTTCTTCTCGCCCTTGAAACTGACGCCGACAGTGACGCCGGGGTGCAAGGTCGGCCGTGGCAGGCCGTAGACGTCAGGACCTCGGCATGAATCTGCGTAAGACGTCGCTCCGCTGGGCCCCCTGGCAGCCATCGAAAGTGGCGACGCGTTCGCAGCTTCAGCCCCCGGAGCTGGCGAGCGATGGCCTCCCCAGCAGCCCTCGGCAGCGGCGACAGTTGCGCAGTTCGCAGACCTTCAAAGATGGTGAGGTCGACTCTGAATCTGCGCTGGGTACCCACGATGCCCCCCAATCAGCACTCGAAAGTGGCGATGGCTTCGCGGTTCGCAACCCCCCAGGACCGGCGGGGTCAAATCTGAATCTGCGCCTGGTACCCATTATGCTGGCCCCCCGGCAGTCCTCGATAGTGACGAAAACTCACACTTTTGAGACCCCCAGGGATGGCGAGGTCTAGTCCGAATCCGCGCCTGGTACCCACGATGTTGGACCACCTAGAAGCCCTCGAAAACGACGGCTTCTCGTTTCGCAACCCCCCAGGGCTGGCGAGGTCTGATCTGAATTTGCGCGTGTTACCCACCATGCTGCCCCCCAGCAGGCCTCGAAAATGGCGACATTCTCGCAGCTCGCAGCCCCCAGAGATGGCGACGTCGAATCGATATTTGAACCTGGCACCCACGACACTGTCCCCCCACTCGAAGGTGGTGACAGTTTCGCAGTTCGCAACCCCCCTGGGATGGCGAGGTCTAATTTGAATCTGCGCCTGGTACCCATTACGATTGTCTCCACGGCAACCCTCGAAAGTGGCGACAGTTTCACAATCTGAGCCAAACCAGGGATTGCGAGGTCACGTAGGAGGGCGAGGTGGTGGGAGGCAGGCTGGCAGGCAGGCAGGAGGGAGGCAAGAGAGATAAGAAAGAGGGACAGGAAGAGAAGGGAGGCGGAAGGAGAAGGAGGTCGCGACCGCTGCGTTTGTCGATTCAAAAGCAAAAGAACAAAAACATGATTTTCCCAACCATCCTGTGGTGTTGGGTCCTCGTTTTGAAGAAACGGTCCCCGCGTTCTCCTCCTCTCCTCTCCTCCTCCTCCTCCTCCTCCTCCTCCTCCTCCCTCCTCTGCCTCTGCCCACT